ATTGTGCAATGGAGACAGATGACAAGAATTTGCTGTTCCACCAAAGGAAAACAAGAGCAACTTCCTTATGTCCTTGGAATCCGACTTCCTCAGTTCCAAATGTGCAGAGAAAAACTTGTGTCTGTATGCAAGGACTGAGGGCAGTTGTTTATGTGACTAATTGGACATCTACATAAATATGGGAATTGAGGCAGTCCCTCTATTGTCATCTGCTGTAAAAAACAAGTGCTTATTCTAAAGTGAAGAGGAGAGCAGACTGGAGGGGAATGAACCATTTAGCTGTCCTTTGATGACTTTCTTACATAAGCTTCAAGGTCACAAAATGTTCTCCATTTTGTTTCCAAGTAACAAGAGGAAAATAAACAACCTTGAGGAGTCACTTATAAGGAAGGGAAGGGGCTTGGGAAGGTTTTAGATTGGGGGAGAATCTTTGTGGATGTTGTAAGATGGAGGCATAAAGAGGAGATTGAAGACAGAGGGATTAGCTAGAAATATTCCAGGGAAGGAAGATGAAGAGCATTGAATGGAGATACTGTGGGCAGGAGGAAAGATACACCTCCCTCAAACACAGGTGGTAAGAGGACAGTCAAGGAGCTCACAAAGGATTTAGGCACTGAGAAAAAGGGAGCCGAGAGAACTCAGATATCTTACCATCAAGTCAGAAGATGTCTCCTTCTGAGCAAGTGTTAGTAGAACATGAGTTTGGAGAAACCTTGGCCCATCGCAAGTGGAGAATGAAAGGGAGTGAAGTTGTGTTAAAGCTTGTGCTTATCAGTAGTTCTCAACCTGGGGATTGAGACCCCTTTGAGGATCAAACTACCCTTTTCATAGGGGTTGCCTAAGACCATCAGAAAACACTAATATTTATATATGTTTCATAATAGAAAATTATAGCTATGAAGTAGCAACAAAAATAATTTTATGGCTGGGGATCACCACAATGTGAGGGACTGTATTAAAAGGTCTCCACATTAGGAAGTTTGAAAACCACCACCTTAGATCAAGTTTACAAAATTCTAGAGCTAGGCAATGCTCAGTGGTCATTAGATCTATGATGTTATTTTGTGAGTGCTGAATTGAGGCCATTACAGATCAGCAGATCAATACATAGCCGAGGTACTGATGAAAATGAGGGAGAATTTACCATTTCCCACATGGACATGATGCTCACTCTTCTAAGCCTGATACTCAGGAAGCTGCGGCAAGAGGATCACAGGGCAGCTTAGCCTTGTTATGTAGAACAAGATCCAGGATAGCCTGATATATGGTGAGACAATGTCTACAAATAAGCAGCAACAATGACAAAGAATACACAAAATAAGTCAGTGAACAAACATTTCAAAGGAACATCCTAATAACCCTTGCTTGATCTAGTGATGCATCATCTGTAGTTAGGAAGACTTTGGGTGTGCAACTGGCACAAACCTCACAGCTACCAAGCAGCTTTTGACCCAGCAGAGCAAGGTGTTAATAGGTAAAATTCTTACCCTAGCATTGGATTTGCTTTCTTGAATGTCTAACGTGTAGCCTGCAAGCTGTGTGTGGCCCAGGATAGCGTGAATTTGGCTCAGCATACATTTAGATGACAACATTATTTCATACTGACAAAAGGGCAGGACACCTCTGCTATGTCACAGAGGTTAAAGTGGATGAAGATGGAGAATCAGAAGAACCGACCACAATGTCAGTTTCTGTAGGGAGCAGCATGGTAGCAAAGCACCTGTCTATGTCTAGGTCTGCAACAGTCTATCAGAGTTCTCTGTGTATTCTTCTCTTCTGACATAGACTTAGGACAGTCTAAGGAAGTATATGGCCCCTGCATAGCATTTGATTGGCAACTATTCCCTCAACATGCTCATTCTTGGAGGATGACTCAGTCAGTAAGGTGCGTGCTACACAAAGACTACACAAAATGCTATGTGAAGATGTGAGTTCAATTTACAGCACCCACATAAAGAACCACATGCACCAAGTACATTTTACAAATTCCAGTGCTGGGGAAGGCAGTAGTAGGAATATGCCTGGAATTCATTGGCCAGCCAATCTAGCTTATTCCAAACTCCCAATTTAGAGAGAGACGTTGCATCAAAAAAAAAAAAAAAGAATCAAGATGGTGAGCAACTGAGAAAGACACTTGACATTGACTTCTGACCTTCACATTCGAGAACACACACACACAGAGAGAGAGAGAGAAAGAGAGGGGGGAGGGAAGGAGGACTCTCAAAATTTTTGAAAATACAAGAGCAGGGCCTTTTAAATTTATGTATTTCTAAATCTCAGCCAAATGCTTAGCATGTATGTAGATGTTTCAAACATACCCCAGAAGTAGGTGGATGGAGAATCTGTGTTCTGAGTTCACACTTCTATAGAATATACTTTCTGTGGGATTTTGAAATCTCTGTGACTTTCTCTCATTCCTATTTTATTCAGAATATATCTTTTGAAAAATACAAGTGTGTTACCTATCTACAAGCACAAATTATTTGCACTGGCCCCTGTAGGTAAGCTCTGCTTCTTCATACATAGTCTGCTGTGAATCCCTACTCTTCATTATGTTGGTCCCCAGACTATGTTACAGGCACCAAATGGTAGAGCCTTCTACAACAGTAGTGAAAAACGATACTATAGCAAGGGCAATAAACAAAAAATGAAATGGGAGATCCTGAGCCAATAGGACACTGGTATTAGGTGAGATAGACTTGGCACCAACCCTACTTGGCAGAAGTCTGAGCTTTTTTCTGCTTTGAGACAGCTGGTTGATTAGCAGGCAACTAGTCTATTTGTGATGGTTAATGTTAACTGTCAAGTTAACAAGTTCTGCAGTCACCTAGGAGACAACACTCCAGACACACCTGATTTAGCCTACTGATGTACCCATGAAGGATCATGTTGACTAGGTTAATTGAATTGGGAAAGCCCACACTAAAAGTGAGTGGCGTCAACCCAAACATAAGCATCCATCGCTCTCTGCTTCTTGATTGTGAATATGAGGTGATGAGGTGCTTCAGGCTTCTACTACGATTTCTCTGCCATGATAGACTGCACCCTGAACTGTAAGCAGATTAATAAATCCTTTCTCTCTAAAGTTGCTTTTGCCAGGCATCTTATTACAGCAATAACAAAAGGAGAAGAAACTAAGACATCTTTCAACACCTTTATGTGACTTAGTAAAGTGTCCCCAAGACAGGGAACGCAGACAGCACCAGAGAGCATGACATGAAATACATGAGAACTGCACTTCAGTGGCCACTTGGCCATTTTCCAATCAAATAGCATGGATGATCACCAATACACATATTTTCATTCCTTTTCCCTAGTGGATAGTCAATTTTTGTGAGCACAGGTCTCTCTTCCCAAGCAAAGAATCACAACTTCATCATAAAGTTATCTTCTAAGGTTGTAGCAGGCATTCCTTTGGGCTACCAATCAGCTCCCAAATCATGACACAGAGACTTATTAGTTATGAATTCTCAGTCTTATCTTATGCTAGTCCCACTTGCTCTTATAACTTAAATTAATCTGTTTCTCTTCATCTAAAATTTGCCTCAGGGCTTTTTACCTTTCTTTCATTCTGTATATCATACTGTATATCTGGCTGACTGGTTGGCTGACCCCAGCATCTCCCTTTCTTTCTCTCTCTTTCTCTACTCTCTCCTTCTCCCCTGAGCCTAGATTCCTCTTCCCACTTATTCTCTCTGCCTGCCAGCCCTGCCTATCCCTCTACTGCTAAACTATTGGCTGTTCAGCTTTTTATTAGACCAATCAGGTGCCTTAGGAAGGCAAAGCATCACATCTTTACATTGTTAAATAAATGCAGCATAAATGAATGTAATACACATTTATATAGGCAAAGTAATATTCCAAAACACACTTAACAGAAGGTAAGCTGCTCAGAGATGTTTGCCTCACTCTGAACATACCTGTTTCCCCATCTCTTAGCCAACTTAATAGACTTTATGTGAAATAGACTTTACATGAAAGACATTTTCTATTATGGAAGAGCAAACTCTGCCAGTTTTTCATTTCTTTCAGTGTGGTTTAGTTCTAACAGGTGAATGAGTCCTTATGGAAGGCTTGTCTTCCCTAACTGTAGTTCAGAAAAGCTGTGGGGAAGGCAATGGATGGCTTGCCCCATCTTCATCTATCTATTTCTATTCTCATAATCTATTTCCATAGCTTTTCTGAATGCAACTACAGTAAAGCCAGCAGTAATCTCAGAGGATCAACGAGGTGGGTTGACTAAGCCATAAGTATATCATCATACCTCATCACTTGCAGTAGCTGGCAAATTGACAAGCTACAGATGATTAAACAGCTGTCACATTTGGGAGTGGTCTGAGGCCATGGGAAGGAGATGAGTCTGCCAGAATCTGACAACATTTTATTCGGAGGATTATCTGTTCACAAACAATGAAAACAAAATATGGTCTTTGGGATATGGGTGAAGAAACCTCTCCAATTGTTGTGTTTTGTAGTTGTTGTTGTTGTTTGGTTTGCTCTTTTTGTTGTTTTACAATGACAAGGGAGAAAGAATGTGGTGTAGGAGGAGGTTGAATTCACTGAATGCCATCTTGTCTATGATGCCTTCAGTGAAGTTCACCTCTCTCTACCCTTTTGCTGCAGTGGTGATTTTCTATGTGCAAGAGAAATTTGTGAAACTACAGTAAGTTCCTTGACAGCATCAGATGTGTGCTCCTATGGGAAAGATAAACCTGCCAGCTGAAGGAAAACACCCTCTGTCTCTTCACTGATAATCTTCCAGGACAACATCTGCCAAGTTGCAGCCAAAATTCTTGTCTCCAAAACTACAATCCTTCCTGTATAGCATGGTTAGACAAGATGTGGGTGTGTCCTGGCCACTGCTTGACTTGAACTGTGACCATCACTTGTGTTATTTCCACTGCTCAAGTAGCCATCAAGAGCTCTGGCTGCTCCCTGCCTGCCAGCCTAGACAGGCTTGCCATGTGGAATACAGTAAGCAGCTAGATTTTGTTCCACAGGAGAATATATTGATGAGCAAGGCCACTGCCATATCTGTGAAGCCTCATGTGCCAGTTGCTGGGGACCAACTCAAGAAGACTGTACCAGCTGCCCCATAACAAGGTGAGTAACCTTTTAGTATTTCCTGGGAATAGGGTGTAGAGAGGAAGTGTTAACCATTTTAGTGGCACCTAAAAAGCCTGCTGGACTCAGGGCCCAAACTGTCTCCCATGATCCAGACATTCCCTAGGATCTGGTCTCAACCCACTTCTGTAGCATCCTCTCCAACAAGGTCCAATACCCTTGGCAAAGACCAATTTCCTAAATGCTGGAAGAGCTATCTTGCTAATGAAAATGGTACCTCTGATGTCACTTTTGACCAGTGAAATCCCGTATCCTACACACTCATCTCTCAAACAGCATTTCTATCTTCTGATAAATATATATATATATATATATACTCATTTATATATAAATACTCATATATAAATACATATATACTCATTTCTATAATCTATTCAAGGGCAAACTATTGTGTAAAAGCATGTCTGACCACTTTTCAGTAAAATTAGCCTTCCCTCTTTAAAAAATTACTATTATTCATTTATTATTTATTTATGTATGCTCTATATCCACATGATGTAAACGTGTGTTATAGCACTTGTGTGAATATCATAGAACAAGTTATGGAACTCAGTTCTCTCCCTCTAACATGTGGGCCCCAGAGATCCACCCCAGACCCTCTTAGCCTCATCCTTTATGACCTTCTGCTCTATAGATACATCTATCAAAGCATGTGTGGCCTTTGGAGACATCTGTTTACAAAATGCATGTTTTCATAGACTGTGAGTTTCTTGGGATCTCACATTTGTGTCTCCTACCCTGGCACCATGCAAGAAAAACTGGGGGCATCCATACACATCAAATGGAAATAGCAAGCAATGGAATGAGCAACACTGCTAATCTGATGGACATCTCCAATAGAGATAACTGAATGCCTGATATCTGTTTATTCAATGCTCCTCTGATTGTAGCACTTAATATGTGGGAGCTTCTGTGTGTTTAGATGAATGCCCTCATCCCTGCTCAGCTAAATGCCAAAGAAGAAGCTGCCTTTCTCTAATAAAGTTGTTTGTAGATGCTGTCACAGCAGGGGTGCCTTGCAGCCATACTGAGATGCTCCCTCTGCATCCTCATTCTGTCCTCAGGACTGTGCCATTCCAGTGAGCAGGAGCTGTGCTGTATTCTCCACAGTGATCAGTGTATAGTAACCATTCTATGACCATTTGTTTGTTTAGTTGTGCACAATCAAAGCCATGGATTTGACTGTCAGAAGAGCTCCCTCAGAAGGAGGGAGCAAATAATAAGGGACAAAGACCAGAAGGAAGGATGGAGGGAGAGAAGGAAGGACGAAGGGAGGCAGAGAATGGAGGGAAATAGAAACCTCAAGGATTCCCAGTGTTAACCATGAGAATGTTTTCTTTTGCAAATTAAGAAAATATATTATGTTCCACTGATGTTTTATAATATATTGTCCAATATCAAGTCTCATTAATTATCCAAATATCCTTCACAGAATATTTTTCCAGAATCTAGTTCTCATGTTTTATTTTTTTAATTTTTAACGTTTGCTTTGCCTTATTTGTTTGTTTGTTTGGTCTTTCCCAACTGTAATAGTTTTAAGGGTTGAATAGACCTGTTGTTTTCAAGTTTTAATACTTTTTTAATTTCTCTTTTTAAATTATGTTTTCTTTTAAAAAATAATTCTTGGAGAATTTCATACTATGTGGTTTAATTATATTGACTCCCTCCACAAACTCCTCCCAGACCCACCCCTCAACTTTGTAGGAAAAAAAACACATCTTTTTTATTTTAACCAATCAAGTCCAATTTCTACTACCCATATATCTTTGATGTGTGACCTTCTGTTGGAGTGTGGCCAACTTGCCAGGGGCAACATTCTTAAAGACAACTTACTTCCTCTTCCAGCAGTTGTCAGTTGCCAATAGCTCCTCTGCTAGAGGTGGGACTTCCTGTTGACCTCCATGCTGAGATTTTTGTCTTATTTAAGTGTGTGTTGGGGGCTTTGTGCATGCTGTCCAAATCACTTTTAGTTTATATGTGTCCTGTATATGAAGGACACTGTTTCCTTGTGTTTGTTCACTACCCCTGGCTCTTTAGAGACTTTATGCCCCTCTTCTGCAATGATCCCTTAACTGTAGGAGGAGGAATTATGATACAGATGCCCTGTGTGGGACTGAGCATTCTGCAGTCTCTTATTCTCTGTATTTTGGCTAGTTGTAGCTTTCTGTGTTATTCATCATCTACTGCATATAGACGCTTCTCTGATGAGAGTTAAGAGATGAATTAATTTATGGGTATATGATAATTCATTAGGAATTGGCTTAATACAATGTCCTTTTAGCAGACTATTAGTGCTTGATTCTTTCCTAGTGCTTATGACCTGATAATAGTGCCAGGGATAATAGTGCCGTGTTGTTGTGCTGGACCTAAATCCAGCACAAGTGATTGGTTACTTTCATGATATTCATGCCACTATTGCACCAGTTGGCATGTCTTGTCAGACCAGATGTTGCTATAGCTCAAAGGATGACAGCTGGGTAAGTCCCATAAATTACTGTTCTCCTTTGGTAATGTGCATAGCACCTCCCAGCACTATGAATGCTAGCCATAAAGGTGAAATATCCAATTGAGTACCAACTAAACTTCTCCGTGTTTTATATTTAAGAATGTGGTTTCCTTGGCAATAGGGTCTTAATATTGAGTTCTTCAGTGTACCCAATAACCCTGATAATAGACTGTACTGTTTAGGGGTCTATGAGAACTCAGTGGCCAACAACTCCAAAAGTGTTAACCTATTCCTATCACTGGATCTTTTATTTGTTATCCTGTGGTATCTAGTAAGAGTGTTGTAATCTGTTATAGGGTAACTCCATTTTAACACTTTTCCTACAGGTGTATATTTACCTACACCTGTACCTATACCAGCCTATACTTAAACCTATACCAATATAGTAGGAAGCCTCCACACCCATGAATGGGTTTCCTTATGACTTCTTCAAAGGTCATTAGTGTTATTTATTGCCATTCCCATATTCTTTCCTCTATCCTGTCCTCCCATCCCCCACTCAGATTTAATCCCCTATGTTCTATTAACTCTCTCTGAACCTAAATACCATTCATTTCTATCTCCCCACCCACGAGCCTCCCACCATGGCCTCTTACTAATTTCCAAACCTTAAAGGATATTCCAAATGAAGCAAACATATCTGCAAAGTCAAAGCTAATATCCACAAATGAGAGAAAACACATGATGTTTGTCTTCTGAGTCTGGGTTACTTCATTCAGAAGGATAATTTCCGGTTCCATCCACAGTACAATTTCATTTTGCCTCAGTCAGAATGGCTAACCACAAAAGAATAAATGATGACAAATGCTGGCAAGAATGTGAGGAAAGAATACTTTTTCACTGCTGGTGAGACTGGAGCAGTCACTATGAAAATCAGTGTGGGTGTGCTTCAAAATGCTAGAACTAGGTCTATCACATGGTCCAGCTCTACCCCACTCAGACGTAGGAAAAAAGTAACAGTAGGTTCCCCAAATGCACTATAACATCATTGACCTTGGGTTCTTGGCCAGGTTTACAGTACCAGGTATTGGATTGAAGCAGGCCTTCAATCCAATCAGAAAGCAGCTAATTACCCCTAGAACGTTCTTACCACTATTGCACCAACAGGCCAGTCATTATTATAGCTGGCAGGCTTCACAGATGGGTGGACTGTTGCTGATTCTTTTCTATGAGCAGCCACAAGACTATTTTCTAAGTGTTTCTAAGAGCTAAAACTCTAAATACTGAATTTGCTTTAAAAAAAATTTGAAGCATACTTTAAGATAAAGACATACCAAAACAAAGTCCTGTTTCTCCTTCTAACCCCCCTTGTACTACTATGAATAATTATATTGCCTTACATGTTTGAACGTCTTTTAACACTTGTCTAATGAGGCAATTACAATCATTCAATGTATGCTGGAGAAACCATGATTGTCCCTAGCACAATAGAAGTGGAAAAGTAAGGAGAAAAATTCTATCACTGTAAATAGCTACCAAAAAAAATATATCTAGGTACAGGCCCAACCATGACAGTGAAGGCAAGGCAGAAGGAGCTTGGGTTTGAAGTCCATCCTGGTATATGATGAGACCCTGCCTCAGAAAAAGAAACAAAAAGAAATCCAGGCCCATTAGTACAAAATGGTAGGTAGCACTAGTGGGACATTTTGGTGGTTTTGTTTGTGACGTATACTGAGTATTAGCTTTTGAATAAAAAAAAGCATACACATGTATCTTGAACCAGGGTATCTTCCTAAGAAAATATTGTTCCCAGGAACAATTTCTTCTCATCCCTCTGAGCACTAGCTCCTCGCCCAAATCTTTCTTCTTTGATGCTAGCTGTACACACACATGTCCAAGAAAGGGTAATGTAGCATAGCAATGAACTGCTTGACTTCTTATTTTTCTGGTATTTTCCCTGAAGGGAGTTGAAAGGATAAAAAGGGAGAAATTATCTGGAAAGAAGGTGATGTTGACTTATTTGTTCTTGAGAAAATGGCAAAGTATTTTCCTAAAGTGTTTTCCAGAGTGTTGCCTGGATCCGTGTCTTGGCTCATTTGGAGCGGCAATAACACAATACTTGAGACTGGATAAATTATAAACAATGTAACTTTGGCTGAATGTTATTGGGGACTGGGAGCTCTATGTCCATGGCACCAGCCTCTGGTGAAGGCCTTGGTGCTGGGTCACCCGTTGAAGAAGATGGAAGGCAAGAGAGGGTGACAGTAAGAGGACAAAGGGAAGACAGACCTGCTTTTATAGCTAACGTATTCCCATGATCACATCATCAAGCCATCTATTGTATAAAATTCCTCACTGCCTAGTCCACTCATATTAAACCCTACTTCACAACCCACTACTTGTTGCCTTGTGGGTCAAGTTTCCAAAACATATATTTTGTAAAGCACATCCAAGCAATAGTAAGTGGAGTCAGGTGCATTCAAAGCAGGCTAAAAGCACTTGCTTTATATTTAGCTCTGAGATAGATACAGAG